CACAAATGGTTTCAGAAATTTCGTTCAAGGGGAAAGAAAAGTGAAATTGAACCTTGAGAGAACACTCTGTCAAAAAACTGGCATTACTTAGACAAAATAAGAAAACAACAATAAAAACTTTTCAGCAGAAATACAGATGACCCTAATTCTATTCCGTGACTATTTTCCAATAGGAATTAATGCAGAGAAAAAACAAAGTCACAGTACAATAAAATTGGAAAAGACACACGAATGTACACAACATGGCGGTCGACTAAGAAATTATTCCATTCGGGTTAACTTGTTTCGGCAATGTTGTTCGAGAACTAAAATTTTGTTTGAAAACCGAAGTATTTTTATCACGAATTTTCTGTTCGAAAACCGATTTGTTCGACATGTGAGACTTCACGGTCGACCGTTCAAAATTTGTACAACCATACTTCTGAGATTTTGGAGCATCCAACTTATTCACCAGACGTCTCCCCCACAGGTCATCTTCCATTTAAATACTTTAATCTTTCCAAAGAAGAAATGACCTGGAATCAGAATGAAAGCTGTGATGGGAGACGTACGTTTGATGTCAGGGATGGCATCTCGAAATGAGAAATCGGAGACTCGAGTTCGAATTCCACCCGAGTTCGTTACATTCCCTTACGTCTAAATATCATTCTTAAAGATATGAAACCCCTCTTCTCCCTCAAACTATGGATTAAATAGCAAAACAAACTGGGTTCTATAGCCTTGGTTGGCATGCATTCTAGATACTTTAACTCGATAAAATCCCCCATCTCCCAGAAAGCTTAGTCTACTGGTGGGGGTTGCTTCAAACCATGAAAGCGCTCAACGACGGATATATTTCAGTCGCCTGGGATGCGCATTCATTCGCAGGCGGTGACATCGTTTACTTTATTTAGCGATGGCGCCGGCTCTGAATCCTTTACAAAAGTTTCGGATGTGGAATTAGTAAATACTAAATATTAGTAAATACTAAATACTTCCAGTGCCTCTGTGTATGGATTGGGTATAACCAATTTAGTGTAGGAGATAAGGACATTGGATATAGGACAATCTGCGCATGGGGTAGTTTCACCCTCATCATCGCAAACTTCTATAAAACCAAAACATTAACCGAAAAGTCGAGTCTTTTATAGAGATGCCACATATGGTGCTAAACTTGTTCAGAAATATGTATGTTGTATACTAACGCTTTCTCGGTTCAATTGTTGAAAATGGCTTCGAGCGAGTGAAGCGTGTCGCTCACAACGTGTAGGTCACAGCGAAGATTATTCTCTTTCAAATCGCGATACAGAATCACAAAGGGCTTTGCCAGAAACCACATCACTTGTGGCACCTCCAACCGGAGCAACAACTAAAATAGCTCGCATATAATATCTGAAACAAAAGACAAGGAAGAAACCCTTTACCAATACTGGAAAGAGCAATAACAGCTGAAATCTATTTCCGAAAAATTTCTTTTAAGAGAAAATTTTATAAATTTCTCTGAAAACTGTTTCTGAGTAATTGTTAAAATTTTAAGTGAAGAAAGACTATTTTTTAAATTTCAGAATCGAAAGGGCTTTAGCAGATAACTGTCATCATTTTCAACTCAAACCGAAGTAAAAAATATTTGGCATAAATTATCCTCAAAAACGAAAACCTACACTGATATAGGTCAATAACAGCTACTGGAAGACTATTTTCTGAAAAATTTTTTAAGAGAAAGATTTTATAAATTTCAATCGACCACTGTCGTCGTCTGAGTAATTGAATCGAACGAGTGAAGTATAGGCTTTAGCGAAGAAACAGAAAACAGAAACATCATACTGGAAAGAGCAATAACAGCTACTGGACCTGAGAAATCTATTGTTCTGAAAATTTTCTTTAAGAGAAAGATTTTATAAATTTCAACCGTCATTAGTACTGGCTGCTCGGTCAATGACTGACTAATGTTTCCTTTCAATGGAAGTAAACAGTAAAAGAAAACTTTTTCCTTGCTCAGAAAACGACATTTTATGTAGAACAACCAAATGCGGACGGACGTAAATAAACTCAGCCTATCTCACATTTTAGGATGAGGAGTTATCTTTATTTATATTCAGACTAATGTCCTTAATGTTTTATCCCTTAATAGTTTTCAATCTTAAATCTAAGATCATCTCTATTATAATTCATCTTGTACCCATCCCGCTTTCGTTACTTGCTTAGTTGTACGCACGACTGTTACGTCCTGCCAATACCTCATAAATAATAGACCATTTCGTTTTGATCGCGTCAAAGAACACGGAATTGACATATCAGAACCGCCACTCGGTTTCTTGATATAGGAACATCTCTGTGTTTGATAATAATTTGCCTGTCGACCACTCTGCCTCCGGGAAGAGTGGAACCCAAGCGAGGCTATGCCAAACTGCAGTCTTGTCTGGAGAGGTAGACAGTCGTTTACATGGGGTCTACGGGATATTTGACATTGTCAAAAATAAGAAACAAAATTAAATTGTTTCAAAGAAATAAGGAAAGAAAGCTGAACAAAAAATAAAGAAAAAAATATGAAGAGAAAGAAAGAGAGAATGAAAGCCTACTAAGCAAGAAATCTGAAAGAAAGAATGTAAAGAATGTGAAAAATGTGAACAACAAAAAAAGAAAAGCGGAAAGAAAAAGAGAATGAAACAGTGCAAAAAAAAAAAGAAAACTGAAAAGAAAAAGAAAGAAAGAAAGAAGGTATACAAAAATGTGAAAAAAAAAGAAAACCGGAAAAAAGAGAGTATGAAAACAGTGAACGAAAGAAAGAAAGAAAGAAAGAAAGAAATAAAGAAAGAAAGAATGAAAGATGTTAAGACAAGTATAGGAGAAAAAAATATATAAAATAAATAAATAAAATAAAGAAAGAAAGAAAAAAAAAAAAGAAAGAAAAATAGAAAGAAAGAGAAAAGAAAGAAAAAATGAAAGAAAATATGAAATAAATGTAACCAAAAAGAAAAACAGAAAACCGGAAAGAAAGAGAGAATGAAAACAGTGCATAAAGGAAAACTGAAAAAAAAAAAAAAAGAAAGAAAGAAAGAAAGAAAGAAAGAAAGAAAAAGAAAGAAAGAAAGAAGGAATGAAGGCGGAAATGACAGGAGACAAAACATAAAAGAAAGACGAAAACGAAAAGAAAAAAAAACGAGAAAGAACGAACAATATCTAAAAGGAAATAAAGAAAAAAAAACTCGAAATATGGTAGAACAAAAAAAGAAAGTGTGTACCTAAACCGAATAAAAAGAAAGAAAAGTGAAAAGGAAGATAGAAAAAGCAGAATACAAAAGACAGAAAGCCGAAAAGGAAGGAAGAAGGAAAAAAAGGAAGGAAAAAATCTGACAAAGAGAAAGCTGAAAAGAAAGAAAGAAAATATAAAAGAAAAAAAAAACTTGTACAAAATAGAAAAGAAAAATACCAAAAAGAAAGAAAGAAAGAAGGAAAAACAACGCGCTGAAAGAGGAAAAAAAAGGTTGGCGTGAAATCTGGAGGAAAAGAAAGCAAGTCACGCTCTTCAAAATAAAGACAAAGAAACGAAATTGAGACCATAAAGGATTATCCACGAGCAAACTTGAGAAGTAGACGAGAAAAGAAACAAATTAGTCCACTGATAATTGTTGCGGTCGCTTCGAATACGCAAGATCACAGTTTCTCCTGTGTGATGTCTCTGTTGATTGGATTTCAACATGTCCCTAAGCGCGAAAGACGGCGACAAGGGAGACGGTCGACGTACAAGTTTGAGACGCAGAGAAGCAATCTGCGTAATTGTGATGGCTCGATGGTGGACAGACAAAAATAAAACAGCCTTCTGGGCAGGGCGAGGAGTTATCTCCCCATTTGTTTCGACACCACTTACTTGTCTCTAGAAGTTGATTGCTTTATTTTTAGCTACCTCATCTAATTGATGGGCGCCCGTGGGTGTGAGAAGGTAGAAATCTAAATTGTTTGCTAAGCCCTGTCTTGTTCCGTTCTCGTAATTTGCTTCGGGATAATGAAAGTTCGAGTAAAACACTTTTCTTCCCCCCCAATCTTTCTCAATCGGGAAGAGTCTCTCTTCTCTGTTTGTCGATATTTACATTTTGCTGGTAATCTGTTTATTTATAACGGTCTGTCTGTGTCGGCTTCTATACGTATCTGTCTGTTTACCTCAGTTTGTTAACATCTGTCAATCATATTATCCACCTCTCTCTCTCTCTCTCTCTATATATATATATATATATATATATATATATATAGATAGATAGATAGATAGATAGAGATATATTGTGTAGATTTAGGCAGCAATTTTTCATTGATGCATGTTTCACTAAAAAATATAGACAAGTTTTGTCTGTTTATTTTAAGCAAGTTCCTTCATATTGTCTGATAAGCTTAACATTATCATTGAAAGACGAAATGAAATCACCATATTGATACATGTTTAAATCCAGTCTAAGCTTTCGGCTTACATAAGCCATTATCAAACCTAATCTGAACAAAATAAACTACGAAATCTCCATAAATGTCGGGCAAGTTCTGTGACCACATCTCCCCTTACACCTGGCCACCTAACTCAACAGAATGCGACCTACTTGATTATTATGTGTGAGGTGCAGTTGAGCGAGAGACTAACAAAACTCCTTGTAACACCAAAGATGAACTGAAGGAAAGGGCTATGGCAGCATTCACCAACTTAAACAAAAAGACCGTCCAGAAGAGTTGCAGGAGATTCCAAAGTCGTCTTGAAGCTGAGGTTGAATCCATCGATTTTATTGAATAAATTTACTATTTAGTATTTCAAGATAGTATTTCAAGTTATTTTTGTGTATTTGGGGTAGATATATCTGTTAAAATGAGACGTAAATGTTATTTTCATTTTTCGTAATTTAGACGGCAGGCTATATATATATATATATATATATATATATATATATATATATATATATGCGTGTATGTATTTCTATTTCTCTCCCTCCTTCTCTCTCTACATTTGCATGTATATATGTATGAGCCTGCTCACATTTCTCTCTATGAGGATCTATCTATCTATCTATCTATCTATCTATCTATCTATCTATCTATCTATCTATCAGCCAACATATCTACATCAGCCTTTTTATTACTTATCAACGAACTATAATAATATGAAACTGTATGGTGGGTATCTTAATAAGTCTCTCAGCCTTATGTTCAAAAATTCATTTTTTTACTCTATAATCGTTTTTCTTAATCAAATACAGAATGTCCACGGGTTACTTCGGACCCGACGTACGGACCCGACGTACGGACCCGACGTACGGACCCGACGTACGGACTTTCCTGGTTACGGCGCCATCTCCCATAATATAAGACGTCGTCGCGCGACGCTGTATGAGGAAGACAGCGTTGTTTCTTCACCGGCTGTACGCCATGTTGAATTGTGATACATTCGCTTTCTTTCGTTTGTGTCGTTTTTGTGGGGCGGGAGGACGTTTTGCCGTTTATTATGGCTCCAAAGCGTAAGGCAGACTCGTGGGTGCTTATGTATGTGAGTTCCGACCTATAATCAGGTCATGTCGCGCCGTAGGAAAAGATCTTCGACGTAAGTTGAAGACACCCTGCACATGGAATATTGTAATACCATCAAGTAACAAATTTACAGGCTCCGGACATATTTTGCCTTCGAATTTGATTTCCTTTCACTTTTTCTCCATTTTGATTTTCTGTCATTTCTTTATTTCTTCCATTCTTTTTTTGGTTCTCTATAATTTATTATATTTATTTTCTTGCGTTCTTCTTCCTTCCTTCCTTCCTTCCTTCCTTCCTTCCTTCCTTCCTTCTTTCCTTCCTTCCTTCCTTCCTTCCTTCCTTCCTTCCTTCCTTCCTTCCTTCCTTCCTTCCTTCTTTCTTTCTTTCCTTCCTTCCTTCCTTCCTTCCTTCCTTCCTTCCTTCCTTCCTTCTTTCTTTCCTTACTTCATTCGTTTCTTCATTTTCCCTTTCTTTTTCTATAGTTTTCCCATCTCTTTATTTTCTTTTTTCTATATTTCCTTCTTTCTTGCTATAGTTTTCTTTCTTTCTTTCTTTCTTTCTTTTCCTGTACTAATCTTAAATACTTTCTCTCTTATTTCAGATTTGTAATAAATTCATTTTTTCTTTTTTTCTTTATACCGCCCTTAACCTCTTTCTTTCTTTCTTTCTTTCTTTCTTTCTTTCTTTCTTTCTTATCCTGAACTTACCTTAACTTATCTCTTTCTTTCTTTCTTTTCCTTTCTTTCTTTCTTTCTTTCTTTCATACTTCATTCGTTTCTTCATTTTTCCTTTCTTTTCCTATAGTTTTCCCATCTCTTTATTTTCTTTTTTTTCTTTTTTCTATATTTCCTTCTTTCTTGCTATAGTTTTCTTTCTTTCTTTCTTTCTTTCTTTCTTTCTTTCTTTCTTTACCTTCTTTCTTTGTCTTTCTTTTCATTTTTACTTCTTTCTTATTCATCGTTTTAATTTATGACTTTCTCTTTTTTACTTTCTTTTAACTTTTTCTTTCTTTTTATTTAAAATGTTTATTTCTGTCTTTTTCGTTTCTCTTCCCTTATCTGTAATTCTATCTTTTACGCTATAATTTTTCTTTCTTTCTATTAATTCGATGTTCACACCTTTATCGAGTGCTTTTTCTTTCTCGCCTAATGACACAAATAAAGGAGTGTAGTTAATTGTATAGCCCGGTGTTGTACAACAGTCACCCAGGTGCGCCTTATCGACACACACTTTCTCCTCCACAAGCAACACCTGGATGTGTTAATACTATCGCCACTATTATTATTATTATTATTATTATTATTATTATTATTATTATTCAGTATCTGTCTATATTTCTGAAATGACGTATGATGTACATTATTTACATTATTCGAACTATTGTCCTCATATTTGTTGGCATATTTATCACAACGTTTCGGCCGTTGTAAGCTTCGGCATTCTTCAGTATCTGTTTATATTTCTGAAATGAAGTATAACGTACACTATTTACATTATTCGGATTATTGTTCTCATATTTGTTGCCATATTTAACGCAAAGTTTCACCCGTTGTACACTTCGGCCTTCTTCAATATCTGTGTTTATTTCTGAGATGAGGTATTATGTACACTATTTACATTATTCGGTCTATGGTTCTCATCTTTGTTGCCATATTCATCACAACGTTTCGGCCGTTGTACGCTTCAGCCTTCTACAGTATCTGTGTTTATTTCTGAGATAAGGTATGGTATTATGTACACTATTTACATTATTCAGACTATTGTCCTCATCTTTGTCGCCATATTTATTACAACGTTTTGGGCGTCGTACTCTCCGGCCTTCCTCAGGTGGTTGGAATGTCGAACTGAACCCTTTATTTCGTTCACTGGGGTAGACTGTTCTAGTTCCACGTGCCATTTTTTAATGGATGTCAGTTATCAATTATCTCCTGTTAATTCCCCTCTCCAAGTTCTCCACTGCCTTAAGGCGTTAGTTGGATCCAATGACAGGACCCAAAGAGTGTGCGTTCAGTACCCGGTTGAGTCTCTCTCTCTCTCACAGTCGTGCCGTCGCCTCCCTCTGTTTTTTTTTAGAAATGCTTTCACGGTAACTGCTCCAATGAGCTGCTTTCGCTGGTTCCATGAATTTAAACTTACGGATAGGCTGGCATCCCGCTCTCACCCTTTCACTGTGGAAACTGTTAAATGTAGCCGTCTCATCTACTCCAATAGCTTCATTCTCGCACCTCTCGCCTGTGGAACTCTCTCTCCTTTCCCTGTTTCCCTGATAGCCATAATCTCCAACTATTCAAATGTAATGTCAATCGACATCTCCAGATGCCTTGATCTATCCCCTATCCTTCTCTTCATCCTTTCCTCTATCACACCTATTTGCTATCACTACAATTCTCTGTAACCTTTTGCGTGCTAGTGGCTTCCCGCCTTGTTTGGGGTGAAACGCTTAAAAAAGGAAAAAATTTATAAGTGATGTAAATTATATATATATATATATATATGTGTGTGTGTGTGTGTGTGTGTGTGTGTGTGTGTGTGTGTGTGTGTTATAAATTATAAGAGATTAAAGAAACGAATACGATGAATGGAATAGTCTAAGCCAATTAGGTTAGCAAAAAATAGACCGCGAGGAATTACGGTGTTCTTTGAGAAACAAAATGCCATATGGAAAGTCGTATCCTTAATCTTGTCGTTTGGATTAGGGTGGATTAGTTCTTGATTGGTTAATTTGTTGTTGTTTTTAAGAAAAAGAAAATTGATTGATTCGTTTTTTTAAGGATTATCAACCTTTTTTCAAGTTATTTAAAGCCAGAAAATATTTTTAGAACGTAAGAGGTATTGGATATAATGACGATTTACGGATATGCGACTCTAATAATTAACCCATAGCTGGAAGGAGAGAAGCTGGATTCATATCTTTCTCAAGGTTATTTTCGCGTAATAAATTTCAAAGAAGCCAGCGGGAATTGAAATTAGGCACACGGATTTCCAATTCTTTCCATCACATGTACATCCAAAATTACAACACCTGGTATTCTCAAGCGGTCACCTCTTCTACGTAATGACCAGGCTCGATGTTGCTTAACTTCAGTGATCGTACGACAGCCGGTTTTTCAACTTGATAAGGCCGTAGGCTGGTTGGGAGTACAATTTTAAATATATATACAGCCTTGTGCAAATTAATTGAAACAACCGCTTTAGTTTCCTTTCTTTCCCCATACAGTCAGTTTTAGATCCACTGAAGTGACAGGGTGTAATCGATTTCTATTTTTTCCCTCAGATTAGGTCATTTGCAGTGGTGAGCAGTAATATAAAACTATTTTCGGGGTGTATGATAAAATTTGTTTGGCCTTGAAAAATATTCCATCATCCGTGATTGCATCAGATTTTTATCCTGCGCAGACACTATTATCTCGACTGTCAATTAGTTGTCCTACGGCCATTGTTTGCGATGGACGTTACTCCAAGGAAGTGTACGAAAATTGTAACGCTGCACGAACACACTGGCAAGCTTTACCAATGAGCAAATCAAAGTACTATAGAATGGCCCGGAATCTCTCCTGATTTAAATCCAGTCGAAAATCTGTGGTCAATCTGCAAGGAACGTCTTCGTGGAATGGATATACGAAGTACTAACATGTGCAATCGACCCTGTTTCATTGGAAAATACGAAAAAAAGTAAATAATAACGGAATTATTCATTTTGTTTCAATTAATTTGCATGTGTTTATATGTATCTATGTATATTTAGGCAGCATATATCACTTCAAACAGGTTTCGCTAAATAATGTAAACATATTTTGTCTATTTATTTTTTCACTGATCCTTTCCTGTTGTCTAATGAGTTTCTTGATGTTAAGATGAAATTCATCAAGGAAAGCGCCATAGGTTGTTTTTTGTTTTTTTAACCCAAGCCATTGATTCCCAAGTAGGCATCTACATGGACGACACTACAATTTACTCCAGCCTCAAAAACAAATCTAGTGTCACTGACAAAACTAACCGGGCCGTTTGTCTTGAAAAGGACCTCCGATCGGTTGTGAACTGGGGCCGTAATTGGCTAGTTAACTTTAACGCCTCAAAAACAAAACTGCTCTCTATTAATCACCACAGAGATCCTTCCCTGCCACCCATTAGAATGTCTGACGCTCAACTTCCCGAGAGCACCTCTCTGCGGGTGCTCGGTCTCACGTTGTCTACTGACCCGAGATGGAACAAATACATTGAGTCAATAGCTTCGTCCACCGCAAGGAAAGTTGGCACTTTGTGCCGTACCAGGAAATTTTTCTCGCCGGAGTTGATCCTTCAAATCTACAAATCAACAATTCGCCCTTGCATGGAGTATTGCTGACATATATGGTCTGGAGCCCCTTCTGTTTGCCTTGGGGTTCTTGATAAGATCCAGAGACGGATATGCAATATAATTGACCCTGATCTGGCATCTCGTCTGCAGTCGCTCTCTCACATACGCGCCGTCGCCTCTCTCTGTCTTTTTTACAAATACTTTCATGGTAATTGCTCCGATGAGCTGCTCTCGCTGGTTCCCAGATTTCGCGAATTCAAGCGTCCTACAAGGCTGGCATCCCACTCCCACCCTTTCACTGTTGAAACTGTTAAATGTAGCCGCCTCTTCTACTCCAATAACTTCATGTCTCGCATCTCTCGCCTGTGGAACTCCCTTCCCTATTCATGTTTCCCCGATAGCTATAATTTTCAACTATTCAAATGTAATGTCAATCGACATCTCCAGTTGCCTTGATCTATCCACTATCCTTCTCCTCATCCTTTCCTCTATCATTCCTAACTGCTCTCGCTCCAAATCCTCTGTAATCCCTTGCGTGCTAATGGACTCCCGCCTTGCTCGGGGTGAAATGCTTAAAAAAAAAGTACTTTCTATCTTTTCTAAGATCATCTTCAAAAGTAAATTACAAAGGTAACTGCGATAAAATCTGTATTCCGTTGATAGTGATTTTAAAAAACGCGCGAATGTACACTTTTATAATGGTTATTTTCTAAGCGTAGCTTAGATTTGGCACATGGCCGTAAGTATAGGGCACTTAGGGAAGATCGAACTCACTTTTCAGCGAGACAAGCTTGTTAACCATTACACCACGCCGAGGTGGCCCGCGCTCTGTTATAATGTATATATGTAACGAAAATTAAATCCATTACGTTTTATTAAATACAATCGGCAAGGTTTGTTTAATTTTTTTATTCTTATTTTCATGTTTACAAAGAAACTGTCGTGCATCTGGAGCAGAGTAGTGGAGAGACTGTTCAAAATTTCCCCATTACTCTGGGAGATTGGATGAATAATTAAAAAAAAAAAAGGAAAAAAACAGGACACTCATACACTGATCCCACAAACACCACACTCTCTCGTGGGTTAACATTTCACTTAACAAATCTCTGAAATTCATACGTGCATCGATTTATATCTTAATCGATCAAAATACGATAATTGTCGCAAGGAAAACCTTCGAGTCAAAATATGGCCATTATACGAAAGAGAAAACTCACAGGAAATACCTTCCATTCCAAAGGACGCCATTTTAAAAATGCGTACAAATATATTTAATACTTTCATCCATTGGTATTGTCAGGCTTTGTGAAACCGTTCTACTGATGACGTCACGTTCAGTGTTCCCAAAAATATCATCATCATTAATCCCATGACCGGAAGTGGTCCTAGGGTCACTGCGCTGTTGATTACTTAACTAGTCCCCCCCCCGACTTAACTGGGCTAAAATCGGAAAACATATTTATTCACGCGCAGCGAGTTTTGGACAGTTAGCCCGAGCTGAGCGCATCTGTTTTCAGGTCAATGGCTTCCGTCTTGAAGGCTTGCGTTGTTCACGTACACGACGCCGTTGTTTCCATCAGGGGAATCATCCGGCCTGGCCGTTGACTTCAGTCTGGGAAGCCATGCATCCAGAGATATCATCTCATTACTGTTTTGGCGACAAACATATATATATGGATTTCTGTGTGTTAATCAAATTTACTCCTAGACGGCGTAGCCTAAAAAAATCATATTTTTTTTTTAATCAGGCCGACTCCGAGAGCAAATTAAAAACAGACCCTGTCGGATCCGGACTCGCTATCCGGAAATTTTGGATTTCAAAACCCCGATTGTTCCCGGCGATTAATTTTACGTGATTTTCGCGATGATTTTTTTTTTTTTTTTTTTTTTTTTTGTACGATAAAAATTTTTATAACTTGGAATTAAATTTGGAAATAATCGAAATTAACTGCGAAAATTACCCATGAAATAAAAATAATTGTTGGTACGGAAAGTAAGGCATTTGCGATCGTCAGCTGCCGATCGCAAATAGGGTGAAACCCAGAGTTATAAAACTCACATCAATCCAACTAAATATGTTAAATCTATTAGTGATATCAAGCACTTTCCAATAAGTACCGCGCATATATAATATATAAATAATATATATAGGAATTATATATATATATATATATATATATATATAAGTATAGCAACATCATCACATGATAAGACACCGAGGGGTTGAAACAAAATGGCTATTTTTGTAGTGATTTTATAGCATATTTATGTTATAATTTTTAAATAAATAATTATATATAATTATATATATATATATATATATATATATATATATATATATATGTATGTATCCATACATACATATTACATACATATATATATATATATATATATATATATATATATGTGTGTGTGTGTGTGTGTGTGTGTGTGTGTGTGTGTGTGTGTGTGTCCGAAATTACACATATGTATCTGCGTCTAGCCTCGAACTGCTTATGATGATGTCTTGGTGTGAACTAAAATGCGTATACCTGTATGTCTGTGTATACATGTATGATTGTACCTCCCCAAACAAACATAGAAGTATATTCCCTCTACCACCAACAACATAATCAACCAAGTAAAAATAGATCCAATTGTAAAAAATAAATCAGTATATAAACCGCGCATATATAATATATAAATAATATATATAGGAATTATATATATATATATATATATATATATATATATATATATATATATACATTTATATATATATATATATATATATATATATATATATATACATATATATATATATATACATATCTATATATCTATATATATATATATATATATATATATATATATATATATATATGAATTTGTACACACGCCACCTACGTACACACCTGCATGTATACACCTGACAGAACACAGGTGTGTATATTAGTTGGGATTCTTCATTTTAAAGCGAGTTTGTATTCGTTTGTAACATGTGTGTCCGCCTCCAAACCACCCCAGATCCTTGTTGTCTTTCGTATTCAGGGCGTGTGTAGGCAGTCGGCCAGCCGTGACGTGGGTATTCGCACAAGCAGTTAGAAAGAGGTTTCAACTGAAAGACTCCATTAAGAACAAAAACATCATTCTAATGAACTGGTTCTTATCATTTGGCTATGAATGTAACTTTTCTAATAATATTTATAGTGGTTGTTCCTCTCTCTCTCTCTATCACACACTTCCCCTCTCTCACTTCCCCCTCTCTCTCTCTCTCTCTCTCTCTCTCTCTCTCTCTATTTCTCATTATTTCTTTTGAAATTGCAACATGTTGTCACATGCCGACGTTTCACAGATATTTACACAGATATTAGTGTATTGTTTGTTTAAATTGAATATATGCATATACAAGTTCGTATGTGTGTGTATAGACATGAGTTATTAAATGCACCAGCACAAAAAGGTTCGTGAGTTTAAACAATGTGGGTCACGACAGCTAAAAAAAAAGCTAATAACAGTTTGGTTGGAGCCCGCCGGGGATCAAAGCCATAGTCTGGTTGTTTACTGATGGAACTATGGGATGGAGCGCCATCTAGCGGTAGATATACTACCAAACGCATTCATCCGTCACACACACCAACACACACACACACACACACACACACACACACACACACACACACACACACACACTCAAACCCGAGAAACTTTTAACAATTGGAAACGTTCATGAAAGTAGATTTTTTTCGAAATATATCCGATAATGCATCAGCGTCCTGGGTATGAGTATATACTACATCCGCGTCCTGGGTAAGACGATAAATACATCCGCGTCATGGGCAAGACGATAAAATACATGCGCATCCTGACTAATACAATAAACTACACCCGCGACCTGAAAAAACGATAAACTATACTCCGCGTCCTGCACAAGAAGATAAAGTACATCCGCGCCCTGGGGAAGACGATAAAGTACATCCGCCTTCTGATTAAGACGATAAACTACATCCGCGTCCTGGATAAGACGATAAAGTACACTCCCCGTGCTGGATAAGACGATAAAGTACACCCGCGTCCTGAATAAGACAATAAACTACATCCGCGTCCTGGGTAAGACGATAACGTACATCCGTGGCCAGGGCAAAACAATAAACTACATCCTCGTCCTGAGTAAGACGATAAACTAAACTCCGCATCCTGGATAAGAGGATAAACTACACCCCGCGTCCTAGAAAAGACGATAAACTACACCCGCGTCCTGTGTAAACAGTAAACTACACTCAGCGTCCTTGGTAAGACGATAAACTACATCCGCGTCCTGGGCAAGACGATAAAGTACATCCGCATCCAAAGTAAGACGCGTCCTGGGGAAGACGATAAACTACATCCGCATGCTGGATAAGATGATAAACTACATCCGAGTCCTGAGTAAGACGATAATCTACACTCCCTCGTCCTGGATAAGACGATAAACTACATCCGCGTCATCAGTAAGTCGATAAACTACACCCGCGTCCCGAGTAAGACGATAAAATACATCCGCTTCCTGTGGGAGACCATAAAATACATCCGCCTCCTGAGTAACACGATAAACTACATCCGGGTCGTCGATAAGACCATAAACTACGCTCCGCATCCTGGATAAGACGATAAAGTACATCTACTTCCTGGCCAAGACGGTAAACTACATCCGCCTCCTGGGTAAGAGGATAAACTACCTCCAACATCTAGGCCTCTGGTCAGGAGGTTTTGAGGATTGTGGAACCACCTCTTGATTGCTGGTGTCCCCAGTTTCACCCTGACCCGGGGTGGTAGCACCTGTTTATGCCCCACATATAGGCAAATAGCTAACCCCCAAACTTGGGTAAAACACCATCAAAGTGTAAAAATAATTTTTAATACCAGACAAACTTTGTAAAAAAAATTATCACCGGCAATAAATTTTTTAAGAAAAAATTATTATCATGAATTCATTTTTGAGAAAAAATTTAAAATAAATATTACTAGCAATAGATTTAAAAAAAAAAATACCAGCAATAAAAATTGTCGGCATTCACCCATTGAGGTTGATAAGCCGTAAAAATTCCAAACCAAACCAAACCGATAATGCATCTCTCTATTTAAAGCTTTATCAGATCTGCAAACGAAAACGAGATAATTAGATGCGTGTATGTGTATTTGTGTATGTTTAACCCTTTAAGCCCTGTTTTCCTGAACAATTATAACCCCTCTGCCTGAGTCCCTGGGTCAAAATCCGCAAATTGACCCCTTAGTCTTAACGAAACACCCTTTATATATATATATATATATATATATATATATATATATATGTGTGTGTGTGTGTGTGTGTGTGTGTGTGTGTGTGTGAGATATTTAACGGTGGATATAAAAATAGTTGCAAGTGTTTACCCACCGTTTAACCGGTGGCTGGATATTAAGTCATTTTCTCTATCATTGTTCAACCGGTGGCTGGGCATTACGTCATTTTTCTATACCAGCTGTAAAGCGGTGGTCAGGGCTCAAAGGTTTAAATAATAAAGTCATTTTTTGCCCAAGCTGTCGTTTTCGTGACAAAAACCAGATTGGGAAAAAAGTATTAAGATTTCATTATTTAAACATACACAAATAGACATACACGCATCTATGTCTTCGCTTTCAGATCTGGTAGCCCTGAGCCATGCGTTCCTGAAAAATTTGAATTCTTCTGCCTGAACTCCTGGGTCAAAATTCGCAAATAATTGGTATGCAATGTTTCACGGTAGATTATACCTTGCCGGGAAAGAGTATGGTTGTATGTCTTGTCCTTGATTGCTTCCCTGATGGTCCAGGTTGGGAGTTTGCATTCTTCATGTTAAAAACGATCTTTTACGTCCAAAACAGATGCAAAACGCAATGAAAGAAGCGGACCCCTTGGTATAACGTTCGTTGACATCAGAATAGTGTCTTCAACATACGACAACCTGCAAGACAAGTGTTTATCTACCGTTCAACCGGTGGCTGGGTATTAAGTCATTTTCACTACCACCGGTAAAATGATGGTCAAAGTTTTAAATAGCGAAATGCATTATCGGCAAGAAACAAATTTACTTTCTTGTACGTTTTCCTATTGTCTCATATATATATATATATATATATATATATATATATATATATATATATATATATATATATATATATATATATAAGCAAATATATGGATATAGATCCGACAGTATGAAAGAAAAATATATGGAAAAACAAAATCCGAATATGCAAAAGTTGTTTTAATGTTATTTCAATATCGAAGTTTTTTAAGATCAGCGTTTCTGGTTTCTTTAATATTTCCCCTTTTCTTGCAAGTTTAATGCTCGACAAACGTACTTATGAATTTTAGATTAAAATAAAATTATTTTTCATTTTCATTTAAAATATTTTCTATTTTAGGGAATTTATTTTTCACAACATCGCCCACGTGACGCCGACGTGATCATATTGTGAAACGGAATGCTGATCTTAAAAATTTCAGTTATTCTGTTTTGATTAGTCTTACTCTTATGTCTATCGTCTTTTCATGTTGACTTGAATATCGTCTAATGTTAATTATGCGTTTTTTAACTATGTCCTGAAGAAGGTCTATAATGTCATTAATGCCCACCCACCGGTTGAACGGTAGATAAACACTTGTCTTGCGTTTTGCTATTGGTTGTCGTATGTTGAAGAGCCAATCAGAAAAGCCGTACTATTCTGATGTCATCGAACGTTATAACAAGGGGTCCGCTTCTTTTCATTGCGTTTTGTGCATCTGTTTTGGACGTAAAAAGATCGTTTTTAACATGAAGAATGCAAACTCCCAACCTGGACCATCAGGGAAGCAATCAAGGACAAGACATACAACCATACTCTTTCCCGGCAAGGTATAATCTACCGTGAAACATTGCATACCAATTATTTGCGAATTTTGACCCAGGAGTTCAGGCAGAAGAATTCAAATTTTTCAGGAACGCATGGCTCAGGGCTTCACCAGATCTGAAAGCGAAGACATGAGATGCGTGTATGTCTATTTGTGTATGTTTAAATAATGAAATCTTAATACTTTTTTCCCAATCTGTCGTTTCTATGTTTTTTTGTCACGAGAAACGACAGCTTGGGGAAAAGTAATGACTTTATTATTTAAACCTTTGAGCCTGACCACCGCTTTACAGCTGGTATAGAAAATGACGTAATGCCCAGCCACCGGTTGAACAATGATAGAAAAATGACTTAATATCCAGCCACCGGTTGAACGGTGGGTAAACACTTGCAACTTTTTTTTTATATCCACCGTTAAATATGACAAACACACACACACACACATATATATATATATATATATATATATATATATATATATATATATATATATATATATATATAAAGTGTGTTTCATTAAGACTTAGGGGTCAATTTGGCGGATGTTGACCGGAGATTAAAAGGCACTCTAACTCAATGAAAGTTAATAACAATGTGGCAGACAATATGGGTTCTTGGTTGGACTTAAGGGCCTCATTTGTACTCTTCATTTGTGACACTCGCGAATGTTATCATATCAGGCGTTTGATACAGACTTGTTATTCTTTCAGTATAAATGATCTCATTGTGTGATTGCTTCCATAAATGCTTTAGCTCATTTTGAAAAGCTCCAAGCACAGGTATTGCTTCAGTCAGTTATGTGCCATGCATGATACATGCTTAGGTGGTCATGTATCTTTCGATACATGACTGACGAGGCAGATTTTTTTCCCGCAGTAGGTTGCCATTGGTTTCTGCGGTAGACCAGTTGCCATCCAAGGCTATAGAACCCGGCCTGTCCTGCCATTTACCCAAAACTGGTGGGGAGAAGAAGAGGATTCATACATTTTGCAGAGGTATTAGAACGTAAGTGAATGTAATGGATTCGACTGGAATTCGAATTCGGTTCTCTGATTCCTCAATCCGAGCCGCTAATATTCTTGCTTCTTAACCCTATATCAGGAAGGTTATTTTCGAATTGTGGAGGGCAAGTTGCTAGCTTTGTCTGTCGTTAAATTTAAAATGGCATCGTCACTACAAATAATGGCTTAAATTGGGTGGAATTTTGCCTGATGATTTTTTAAAACATGGCACGTGTTGAAAATATTTAGATTTTGATATTAAATAACACATAGAGGTTGATATGCCACTAACAGTGCCTGAAAAGCTAGGGGTCTCCAGCCAAAGTGTACAATATTTTTGACAATGTCATAGGCCTTACACTATTTACATTATTCGGGCTATTGTCCTCATCTTTGTCACCATATTTATTACAACGTTTCGGCCGTTGTA